TTATCCGCAACATTGTATTTATAAATTGAATTATCCATGCATGACTTGAATTGCTGGAAGAATTTTGAAAATGTTTACACAATCGAAATGAATTGTGTATATAGAGTTGATTTGTTAGGAAAATATGAAGGTTATGAAAGTAAATGACTTTTTGATGTTTAATGGATTACAATAGCCACATCAGTTTGCTTAGCCTACTGATACGTGTGTTACGCCCCAACTTGGTCGTCGGTCCCAATATATGTTGGGACTGTCCCAACTTGAGTGATCCAGTTGGGCAGCAACATTTTTTCCATGATTTTGTCCAGAAAAACGATGACAAAAGTAAAGTTGGCCCTTGGGATGAGGATTGTCGGGATAGGGCCAGGATGATTGCATGGTCCTACCGCCCGGACAGTAGGACCAAGGGCACACGCTCAGGCCGGGCCTGGGAGCTCAGAGGCAGATCAAACGTGTCATCTTTTTGTAGCAACTTCCAGGAAAGCCGTGTAGAAAATGGCTTATTTTGTCTGATGACACTGTGCAGCACATGGCCGTGGATGTTCATAACCGGCACCTACGCTCGTTGGTAAATGGCGCCCTCTAACATCCATGTATGAGTAGCAGTGCCCAACCCAAGTCAGGCCTGCCCATTGCTGCAACTTGAGTGATCTAGTTTGGCTCAAGTTGGGACAGTCACAACATAAGCTGGGTGCGACGACCAAGTTGGGGCATAGTTGGTTTGCAAATGAACAAAAGTGTGAAAAGTGAGGACCAACATTCTCTTTCTTGTTTGATAAGCTGTACGATAATTCACAATGGAAACATTTCCATATCTTTTGTTCATTTCTTCTAGAATCTTGCATCTTATTTTCCTGTGGATTTGTTGTTTTTCATCATTCCAGCATGTGACACACCTGGAGGTCCTGTTGGAGGTCAAACAAAGGTCACCCTGCGAAACGAACACTGGCGATACATCGTTACATGGTGAGTATCATCAATCACGGCATTATTTGAAGTAATGAATTTGAAGTACAATGTATAAGTGAAATTGATTTAAATTCTGAATAAGTTGACTCGATATCAGAATGTTTGATCAGAATGTTTGATGCACCTTATATATTGTTCAGTTAAAATAATTTTGCAAGTTCTTGCAATACAATTGCGTATCTGGCTGGTGCATGTCGCAAAAGAAGTAAAAACCTACGTAAACAATTGTTTATGTCCATTTCGTCTCAAAGAACATGCTTCTCAGCAACTTCCTCACCACAAAAAAGATAACACTTCTGCTGCCCGTATGTTGACTTTCCAGTTTGTTACCTTCAAACTCAGTTTTCTGACGAGACTTGCAAGCTTTCCTTTGCCTAGGTGAAAGCATGCACCGTACCAGTACATGCAGGATGTATGGTTCTTGCCACTGTAAAGATAATAGCCAATGCTGGAAGAGGTAGGAGCAGTTTACAGCACTGAACATAAAGTCAAATCTCTACATCATAAAAAGGTCACGAAAACACCTTTGGAAAACAGGATCTGATACACCGTGCCCTCTGGAGACGTGTGCACAATAGGGAACAAAAGATTGTATACGTCTCCATAGGGCAAATTCTATCTAGATGAATACGTCTCCACAAGGTTTTCACGAAATAGATATATGGATTTTACTCAAAAACTAGGAATTTTCAAGGTGGGTTGATGTGTCGCAAATGGAAGAATTTTAGAAAAGTGATATTAAGTCCAAATTTCAGCCAAGGAAATTAATTCTGGTTAAAATAAGAGCATTTTGAAACTGCACTTTCAAACTCGAAAACCTTACTACATGAGAACAAAGAAATGTCTCCACAAGGATACAAATTTCAGTATGGGTGTTTTTGTGTGTTGATGCACAAAGCTTGATTTCAATTTTCTGGGTTTGTCTTGTCTGGTGCTGTCTTTACAAATCCTGGCCTGCCTACGCCATTTTAAAACAGGAAGTAATCTGAAACGGGGGAATATTTACTCTTGGCCTACCGGTAGTCAACAATGTTATGAAAAGTTATCAAATGTATTACATTTTACGTACACCAAATTGATGAGTTCACATGGTTCACATAGAGACACATGCACACATTTTGTGTTGCACTGCAAGTGATCTCTTCACAAGCTACACATGCTCAGCTCAGCCCAGTTATGCCTCTTTGGACCACATGGCACGAGGGGTGTCAGTCATTGGGACATTTGCTTACTGTTCGTAACATTTAAAATTTTTGTGAGGCATTCTGGCAAAATGCAACGGAAGTGGGCACAGTTGTAATCCCTTATATGTCTGCTACACAGATATTAAAGAAACAGTATAAATATTGTGGAATAGCAGTGTAAAGAAACCAACACAAATTGGCATGTTTTATTTTCACGAATACAAAACTTGAAACTTTAAAGGCCTTTTTTAAGTATTTTACTTTTTTGACATGTCGAGAAACGTGAACTTTAAACAGTCATAACTTGTCAAGAGAATATCCGATTGGAGTGCAGCAAACAATATTGTAAGCAGAATTGTATTCTCTTTTCTACTGCCCACAAACCCTCATTTCGACCTCTGCCCAGTTCTGTCTCATTTTGCCAGAATGCCTCACATTGTCGTTTCACAATAATACTTGCTTAAACTACGCTTTTGGTCCATGCAAGAATTGTACAGCTATCCCCCCCTTTTTTTTTTTAAATTGGACTTTCCACACAATCAAAATAACGGTGCCTTTTGACGTGAATAAGTTGATGTTGCAATAAACACGTATTTTGACATACCAATTACTGAAATTAGTAAGTTTAAACAGCATTGCCATGTCAAGGAAGCTCTTTTGTACTGGTATGTAATTAATTTTTTTGGACAAAGTTATTCCCACTTTATCATTTCTTGACACAAAGCTTCATTCAGCAGCCCAACCACACTCCCTTACACAGAGACACTTTTGTTTTTAATACAGTGAAATCTCCAAGTCAAAACCTGTCAACCCAAAAACCCTTCTAACTCAAGCAAAAATTTATTCCCGTCAATTGTTGTTGAATAGAAAATCCATTAGATAACTCAAAACTCTGCTTAACTCAAAATTTGAGCCAACTCTCCCGAGATTTCACTTATCGAGACTCCACTGTAATGAAAATAATGATATCAATATCACATTGATTTTGAGCACTTGAGTAATATTGACTCCAAAGTAGATTCCAAATTGGTTCTGAAATCGTCACTGGCAAGTAATGTTCAGTGTAATTAATTAAATCTTGTTTCAATATTATACATGGACTTTAAAGGGGCCACACAATGACTTTTCTTGGGGACACATTTTGTACAACTTTCTACTTCACTTAAATGTATGAAAAGAATTTAACATCACAAGTTGGTTAATTTTATTGAAACGTGCACTTCTTTATACATTAAAAATTGTCCATATTTTTGGACATCTGAGGGCGCTATTGCTGTGAGTTTCTAAACTAAATGGGTTTTCTGTTCAAATTATGAACCCCAAAATTTGCTCATTGGCTTACTGCCATGTATGACACAACAACGAATCAGGAAAGAAAATTTACCCCAGCAAAATCCAAAATTCCAGCAACTGTAGCTGTAACATTGAGTTTTCTGCCCGGTATGATATCACAGTTTTAATCTATAGGCCCTATGGAAATTCGCAACAGCATAAAAACAAAAAAAGACACAAAAATACCCTGGAATATGTCAAAACAAAAATTGAAAGTAAGGTTAAATTGGACACAAAGGTGCATTTTCAAGGATTGCATTAAAACAAACTACATTACATGGGCCCTTTAATCTTTCCTGATAGACATCAGCAATCACCCAGACGACATTTTAGGCTTGCAGTTTGCAGTCATCGAACCCTAATATCTTAGTTTATTCATAAGGAGCCTTCCTGATTTCTTGAAACCTGGCTCTGAGCAGGAAACCAAAAGACACAATTCATGAACGACCCATTGTCCCCTACCTTTTTCAATCCTTAAAGAAAATATCTTCCCAAACTGTCAGTGACATAAAGAATTCTAAAAAAAACCTTTGCAAGCAAGCTGATTAGAGTGGGACTCGAACCCACAACCTCCTGCTATTCAACAGCTGGATTCTCCAACTTGAGGAATTGAAATCTATGTTTTAAAACATGTCCGTCTTTAATTTGCGGCTGGATTTCTCGGTGAAAGCATCAGGGCTTTGTGCAGGGAAGTGACAGGTTGAAGATGAAATTTAGGTACGTACTTTTTTTCAACATATTTGTAACAATTTAGTTGGATTGTCAAATTGGCTATTAATTAAAATGGTTCCTCATAAGTGAAAGGCTTGATGCCTTTGTAGAGTTGGTCCAGACACTAGTGCCAGTGTTAGGATGTAGGCCTACTTCCAAATAATCATTCCAGCAGTTTGCAATTGCATTTTATTATAGTTTCTCATAATGCTGGTATTTAAATATGTCGCTCTAAATGTATTTGCTGTATCACATGTTTTATAATACGTGTACCAAGCTGTGTAGGCATAACATGTACCGATACGTGTTGACTAAAGGCTCAAAGGTTAATCAATTTGCATTGAATTGATGCTGAGCTAAGAATAACACTTGTAAACACATGAAAGTGCGTCATTTGATAGAGAAAGTTATCCATTGACTTATTAACTTTGTATTAGGCCTATTCCCATGACAGCAGACCAAACTACATGTAAACAGACTTCAGTGTTGACTAAGAATATTTTGGAAAAACCCAGGTGTGTTTCTGTAGGCCTACTGGTACAAATGTAGTTTTTATATATATTAAATATAAAATATCAATGCGCGATTTGCCAGAATTTAAAACATCCTTTTATTTTTTTGCAGTAAGATGTATTTAGTACGAAAATAGACTTATTAGGACAAGATACAAATATTGAAAGTGCATGTTTTGTTTCATTGGGTGCAACCTGCTTGCATGTGACAGAATATCAATGTTAGCTGTGAATCATTTACTTGTAAGATTTGAGTCAATGCCATATATGGACACTTATCGAGAGATGAATTTGCATAATGTAGTTCCGTCAAGTGGTCATGCGATTGTTGGGTGTGGCAGCTGCAGTGCTTTAGTGTCGTCTTGGATGTCTCTGAATCAACCCGCTTCAAACCTAACTGTAAGTTTTGCCACAGCGATGGTTCAGTGCTTTTGTTTTTGGTTCTTAATATTGTTGGTTTCATGGATTATACTAAACATCAGCATAACCTACATGTATAATGAAGAGGTTTCACTGTCGCATTTTACCTATCTCACTGACTGACGGTCAACTGTGCATTAGTCTAGAGCAGTTTCTACCAGCGACTCCAGACCACTTTTTCTCGGTCTCGGTCTTGTCTCGATCTTGTCTCTGTCTCATCCTATCAGAGTCTCAATCTCGATCAGGCTGGTCTCAGTCTTGAAAGTGCTGGTCTCGGTCTCGGTCTCGGATGCCAAGGTCTTAGATTTTACCCTCGTGACCCATCGAGACCACAAAATGTACCATCTATGCATGCCTTTATTCATGTGCAAGCTGAATACAAACTTAAAGTCTTTATTCTAAATATAAACGACATTGTAAGTACAAGTTTTCATGCTGAAGAATGAGATTGAAGCTGGAATGAAGACCAATGTGTTACAACTTTCATTTATCATTGACAAACAGGACTTCCATTTGTGGCTTCGTTCCGAAAAGTGCAAACTTCTACGATGATGAGATCAACACACTGCAGGTGGGTGAGGTCTGAGTGTGGATGGGTGACCCAAAGTACCATGGCTGCACAATCTGAAGCAGCCTGCCAGACTGATGTCCCTACCACGATGCAACAGGAGGCACAGGTACCCACCCCCTCAGCTGCAACAGGTGAGTACATTTAGTAGCTTGACCATTTGCATTGGATCTATGAAGGAGGGAGGGGCATTAAGTCTCCCTCGTCCCTCCCAACTCAACCCCCCTCCCCCCCCCCAATCCTACCTCACCTCCATACCTCACCTCACTCCAGGATTTGTTTGTAAGTCGACAGGTTTCAACTTGTTTTGGGGACAGTCAGATTTTTCATAATTATACATGTTAGGCCAACCAAAATAAATGGCCTGTTTACGGTAACAGCCTAAAAAAAAACGCCAGATAGGTGGTGGGAAAATAATGTTATTTTGTCTTCTTTTTTTCATTTCAGTTCTTGAATTTGTGTATTATTTTGCAATGTTTGAAACTCACTAAACATCATGGGCGTCTCAAGGATTTTTTTCTAAAGGGGGACAAAGCACATTTTTTGCCCCCTTGCCCCCCTTGCCCCCCCCCCCCTCGCGACGCCCCCTCGCGACGCCGGGTGCGTACCTATGTTCCCCAATACCGATGTTCCCCAATACCGATGTTCCCCGAGATCCCTACCAATCTAACCCTAGCCCTACCCCTAACCCTAAACCTAATCCTAAGGATTTCGGGGAACATCGGTAGTGGGGAACATCGGTATCAACATCGGGTACATCCCGCGACACCCATGCTAATCATGTACACGTTCTGATTTCTGTTCTGTTCATAATTCATAAAAGATTGTCTCAAGCTGTAAACTGGTGAAATCAGAGTTGCAGTCTGATTCTAAAAATAATTTTAAAAATCATAACATGGCAATACAGATCAGGGGGTCAAATCTCCCACACTTCACCTGTCAGAGGTGACCCCCCCCCCCAAGAGTAGGCACAATTTTGACCTCCATAGATCAGTGTATGTATTTCAGCAATTTTCAAATTGAGACGGTATAGGCCTATTGCATGTATGTTCATCTTTCATTCAGTTGTTTTACACTTACTTGCATTTTACCCAGAATGATGAACCTTCCGGGTTGCTGGGTCAATGTGTTTTTTTTCACTCAGTATGCAAGGTGTTCCATAACATTAACAACAGAGCCCAAACTCACAATTCATGTTTAAAAACAAAAAAACAAAAAAAACTAGAAAATAAATAAAACTGTTTGCGCAAGGTTACTCTGTTTTGAATAATGCCAGCCTGTCGGAGTGTATTGTGAGTCTCTGGGTATTAGAAATGTATTGAGAGACAAAGAGCTTCCTTATTCCAAGTCGAGCTAGTGCATAATGGGTGATCATACTCCAAAGAAAACTTCAGACTGACCCAGAGTTGAAGTTCATCTATTCAGTCTTCAAGATACACAGCATAACAGTTCAATAATAAAACACCTTAAAATTTAGAATTGGAAGTTGGCACTGATTTTAATTTTATTTCGACATCAGAATCATTGATTAAATTCAATGAATTCCTCACAATAATACAAATTAAAATTGTGCATTTAAACAAAACAAATTGGCCAGGGGTTCCGTATGGGTGGTGTCCCCAATAATACAGTTTTTACGAATACCAAAAGAATTATTTAATAATAATAATAGTGGATATTTATAAAGTGCACGTATCCACCAAGACTGGTGCTCAAGGCGCTACATCATTATCCCTGCTCATTGGGCCCATGAAACATTCCAAATACCATCTCAGCTCCCTGGGGAGTATACAGCTCGATGCAGCGTGTTAGGCCCAAGGAAGCTAATTCAATCACAATAACCATCTCTGCCCTCACAGGTACCCATTTACTCCTGGGTGGAGAGAAGCAATGAGTGACAAAGTGCCTTGCCCAAGGGCACACGCACCATGACCCCGCCAGGACTCCAACCCACAACCTGCAGCTTTACGCGCAGACCACGAATCAGTGCCCTTAACCACGAGGCCACAGTACTCCACACAGGCCACAGAACTCCATACCCAAAAGAAAAGGAAATAATTATTCAAGGATTTATTTTCAATACAATAAATTACAATTAATTCCCCTTTAAAAAGAAATACATGAAATATGCCATCCAGTGTTATATTTTGTGGATTTACATTCAATATATAAAAACTTGACATTCACGCAAGGATATGATCATAGACCCAATTTAGGTTCTGTGTAACCATGGAGGTAAAACAAACAGCGGTCTCACCAGGAGTTTCAGTCAGTGTGGGGAAGTTTGAAAAAGGGTGCTTTCAAATTCAAATATTGCAGGTTCGAATCTGCTAAGTTCTATTAAAATTTTTTAAAATTCTTAATACTTTAAAATAAAATTAGTACCCTTTTCTGTGCTCATCAAGTTTTTTTGCGCAAAAATGCTGATCATATCAAAGCTCCGTCGTATACAGTCAGTCAGATCAGTCAACGGAAATAACCGAATCACATCTACATGTATCTATGAGGGATCGTGAATCAATAATGCCAACAGCACTGCTCAGAAACAAATATATTTGACCGCTGCTGCAAGTGTTCTGCTTTGTCGTCTCAGACCTAAACGGTGAATTATTTATCCATACAGATACAGTGAACCCGGCCATCACCATCACGGACTGCGTGCCTGCGCTGCCAGCTAGCTAGCTAGCTGTCAATATGACATCATCACGTACGTCAAGCCCAAGCTAGGGCCAGCTAGCGCTATAAACTGGATCAATCTGTGTTCGTCTAAAAAAAACCAGAAGAAGCATATATCATGGACAAAAATACACCATCGAAATGTGATCCTCTTAAAGCGTAATAAAGTATACGCCGGCCTTTCCATTGGCTGGTGTCGCACGCTTCTCATTCATCATGTAGGTTCACGTGAGTTCTGCGCGCACCAGCTTCCTATAAAAGGATACATATCAGCTTGTACGCGAAATTAAAAACATATGTACTTTTGTAGGCCAAGCGTTATTCAAGTTTTGACGTCGTCATGATTTTTCGCACGTTTACGTGTGTGTGTGTCAAATTATGGCCATGCAGTTTCAAGTGTGGAATATTGTCATGGAAAATAATTGAAAATAGTTTTCATTTTAAATTATCAACTTGCAAAAAGTTTGAGGTCGGCAGTTTGGCTGCAAAGTCCAGGTCGGTGGGGTTACCGTAAACACATCAATGTTGTTTTTGTTTGGCCTTATATATCTTCATTAAAAGTCACAGTTTTCAAAGCACGGATGACATGAAGAAATCCAGTACATGAATCATTTTATCAGTATCTTTTAAAAGGATATTTGAATTCTTCTGATTTTAGATTCCCCACAACGAACTGGAACCATCGGAAAAATTGGCACAGTCAGCGGTAGCCACTGCCATACCATTGTTGGTTCAAGTGGAGTTAGTATCACTTGCAGCTTGCCGTCGGATGGAGCAGGTAAATATGATCTTGTTCATCACACTAATTGATATCGTAGATCAAATGTTAAAACATGGACACAAAAGGCAGATGGCTGGTAATGCGAGAGAGTATGATTCACAAATGGCACCCCCATTATGTGTGACACATTTGACAAAAAAAAAGTGAGGATAGCTTTATTGAAGTCACACATTAATTTTTGCATTGTTATCTTAATGACTGGAATAACGGAATCAATTGTTTTAGGCCTACACTTGCCGTTACCAGATAGTCCGTGTAAAAGTACTATCAACCAACATCTGAAAAGTGTTTGTCAAACAGTACAAAAGCCAAACAAACAAAGTTCAAAAGTCAAACATTCATTTTTTATTTTTTTTTGGGGGGGGGGGGCAAATGTATTTGCACACTGCCTTAATTACTAACAAACTGTAAATCCCAAGCCATCATTTTTGTTTTACATGTTTGCCTCCATAGAGGAAGAATATGCAATCCGTTTCAGAAACAATGTTTAAGGGAAGTAATACATGTACATTCAATATTGGGTTTTACCCTCGACCGACATATTATATAAACACTATATACTCAGTGTTCTCCTGAGTGATAATGAGAAAAAAAATCACTCCTGTGGGACTTGAACCCATGACCTCCTGCTTTAACATGTACATGTTGCTTGTTTTTTACCTCAATAGGAGTACCTCCACAGAGACCAGACCAAGATCCAAGTGTGGGGGATCTCAACCAAGAAGTCGGTAACAAGACCAGGGACATTTTGAGGAAATGGTACAAGACAACTTGTGGCTATGTTCAGTTGAACCCCGAGGTTCCTGACGATCAAAGACCCATTGCTGGCATTTACACTAAATTGCGGGTTAGAACAAAGAAAGGTACTGCAGAAGAAGAATACTCTGACGAAACTGTAGATTCCACAGAGTATGAGAAAATATTGAAAGATTGGCCTGAGACAGAGTTCAGTCGTGCTATTTTATTTGGCATTGGTGGTGTCGGGAAGTCAACCATTTTTGACAAGATTGCATATGACTGGGCGAATGAGGCGTGTGAAATCCTGAAAAGATTCAAGCTTGTCTTTCTTTTAAAGATGTGTGCCCTGTTGCAAAAATCTGATCTTGTTGATGCCATTTTTGATCAACTTCTAGGCGAAACGTCTGAAGTAGCCAAAGATGAACTTGATAAATTCATTAAGGCCAACTCAGATAAGGTCTTGATTCTTTTGGATGGTTTTGATGAAATGAGGACCAAAACACTCGATGCAGCCTCATTCGGTTCTATACTCAAAGCACTCAGTAGAACAGAATACAGGGATTGTTTCATCATAGTGTCGACTCGCCCCTCTCATCTTGAGACACTGATGTCAAAATCACTTGTCCGAAATCCTTGCACCTACGTAGAGGTTCTGGGGTTTACCAAGGAAGATGTTAATGAATACATTCGGAAATTCTATTACGCAGATCCTGATAGTGGCAGTGCACTGATCCAAAACATTGAAAAATCCAACACGTTGCTCGATTTTTCCACGAACCCAATGCTTCTCCTTCTTATGTGTTTGTTGTGGAGGGAGAAAAAACAACTCCCCATAACAACTTCACGCCTCTTCACTGAGGCAGTTGATTACATGTTCACAAGAAAAGGATTTAGCTCCGAAGATGCATCAAAAACAGTGATTGCTATAGGGAAAACTGCACTTAGGGGATTTGTAAGTGCTGACCAGAATTTCTCTTTTCAAAAAGATAAGTTTGAAGCAGATGTGCTGGACCTGGCACTGAAAGCAGACATCCTAACCCAGCAGAGAGTTATCAAAAACCTCAAATGTCACAACAACATACAATTCAGGCACAAGACTATTCAGGAATACTGTGCTGGTAAATATTTGCAAAGTGTTCATAACCCAGGATTTGTAAAGCGTACAGTGTACAAAGTTGTTCCATTTGGAGAATTTCAAAACAATTTAAGGCAACTATGTCAGACAATTGAGGGTGTTGTTTCAAATGATTTCCTTTTGCGTTTTTGTTGTGGTGACAATGAAAAGTGTATGACTGACATCGTAAAATATCTTGTTGGTAAGTTCAAGAAGCGAGATAAGCCCGGGTACATGTATCATGTAAAAGATATCAGTAGACAATGTGTTTTTGAAAGCCAATGCCAAAAGATCCCAGTGTGTTTCACCAGCAACTCACTCATCCCATCAGATATCAAGGTGGGTAACAATGATGATTTCCGCATTCTCATATACCTTCTTGAAATCATGTGTAGGTCAGAAGTCCAGGTGCCAAAACTGTCACGCATTGAAACCATTTGGATTTATTCTGTGTCTTCGGTCAGTGGTTTAGCCTTCGCCCTGGGTTACATGGAAAACCTCAGGGATCTGACGCTCTGCTGGTGTCCTTTAGTGAAGGGTGAGCTTGAGAAAATCCTGTCATCACTGAAATGCCCCTATCTCTTGACCAGTATTGACATAGATCATTGCAATACATTGGGAGGTAGAGCTGTAGAATGGGCCCCTATCAAACACTTGATAAGCCTTGAGAAACTTCAAGTAAGGAGTTGCAATCTTCAGAGCACAGACATTGAACACATTGCCTCAGCTGTACATGACATGCCCAAACTGAATGGCTTGGTCCTTGACTGCAACCGGACTTTGGGCGGATCTGCTGACTTGTGGGCCAAGGAATTGTCCAAAATGATGCACTTAAATGAGCTGGACCTGAGGTCTTGCGATTTGACACAGTCAGACATTCCACACATTGCCTCAGCTGTAGGTAACATGCCAAGACTGACTGAGTTGAATCTTTATGGCAACGATTCATTGGGTAAATGTGCTGTGTTGTGGGCCAAGGAATTACCCAAAATGATGCACTTAAATAAGCTGCACCTGACCAATTGCAATTTGACACAGTCAGACATGCCACACATTGCCTCGGCTGTAGCTAACATGCCCAGACTGACTGACTTGGATCTGGAAGCCAACAAGGCACTGGAAGGATGGGATGAGTTACAGTCCTTCTTCCATCACTAAGTGTTATATTAAATCTCACTTGCCAAGCCCACTCTTGAATTACATTCATTCATTCATTCATTCATTCATTCATTTATCTTTTTGCAGGAATAAAAAAACACACATACAATTATAAACAGTAAACTCCAATTATGGAAATTAGAATGACCAATGTAAGAGAAAATTGCACCCCTGCAGGATTACTTAAAAATGTCAACTTAAATAACCATCGAGTAGTTCTCCAGGCACAATTTGAACACAAACAGAATTGCACTACGAGAACAAGAATACAACCCCCACAGATATCATTCCACTTAGTGGATAGCACTAATTAATATACGAACAAGGAATTTAAGTAAAAGGCCATGTAGTAAATACAGTAACAGCAAAAACGTATTACCCCCTCCCTGCATGAAGCTTCAATGAGAATAAAAAGAGACAACATTAGCATAGATAATACGAATTGCACTTCAAAAATGCATACTTAAATAAGACCCCTTCCAGTAACTATGTAAAATAAGGAAAAAGAGAATTACAAAAGAGACATTAAAAATACATGAAAGTCATCTTGGCAAGAACGAGTGGCTACTTACAACAACAACAAAAATCAAACTCGATGTACATGTACAAGGCATAAAAATGATAACATTCTCAATAAAAGAAAATGAAATGTTAAAAAACTTAACAAACTTGGAGGGCCTAATGTTTCAATCCTAAGCAGGACCATTCTCAAAGGCAGAACATTGTAAGACATTCTCATATTAGATCGTCAGTAGGGTCACACTGCATGTAAGACAATTAGCTGTTCACCATTGAAAAAAATTACTATAAAATCAGGGACCTGTGCAAATTCCAAAAACAGATAATTAAAAATGTGTTATTCCAGGATGTCTGCTTGCAATTTAAACATAAACATCATAATCCATTCTGGATTCAGATGGTCAGTAGGGTCACACTGCGTGTAAGATAATTAGCTGTTCACCCTCTACATATGACACTGTAGTTTGTCATCAAAGTCAAACTGACACTCTTAAAGTCCTGGTTTAGATATAACCCTGCATCCGGGTCAGATTGGACCTGACCCCTTTTGGGTCAAAATACATTTTTTTGGTCTAATGGCCAGAAAGGTGACTCAAGAGAAGCGTGATTTTGACACGGAAAAATGTCAGGTCAAATTTGAGCCGGATTTGGGTCGAATCTGACCTGGGACTTTTTAGAGTGTCTATGATTTGCTGATTGGGTCAATGAGAATGGACAAGGAACTGTAGATTCGAGCTAAGAATGGACGGGGCGAATCTGGCACAAATCTACAGTTCCAAGCTGTCTATTCTCCGACTTAAAACTATTTTTGAAAACGTTAGTTGATGCAAATAAGATCCCTGGTATACCACAATCTCCATGTTTGTGAATAAGTGTAGATTCCACATTGGGAAACATTTTGAAGTGGCAAACAAAATTACTGTAGACCTCAAATCTCTTCGTGTGTGCATGGAAACATCACTAATTTGAAAACCCAGTGGATATATGGTATTTGTTGATTTCTGAGGCTGTATGGGTGGTTTGGTCCATTTCCAAGTTGAGACTTGTTGGCCTGACAACAGTTGTATTGATGTATCACGTTTAAACAATGAGTAGTTTAAACAGTGAGAAGTTATGCAATTATTCCAAGATGGAAAACACATGTATATTTTGTAAATATAATTATATTTTTGGAGACTCATTGGCCATAGTGGCTGAATTGTGCGTGTATAATGGTTCAAAAACTAACTATCACCCTGAGTAGTTTTGGAATTATTCCAACCACCAATTAGTGACTTTTTTTGTAAATAATTTTTTTTGAAGAATGTTTATGTTATATTTTGTTTATTAGGCTGCCTGAATATTATTGTACTTATGTAGGACATTTAATAGAGTTGTTTGGGA